CGTTTCATTTCTTCTAGTAATGATGATCTATCAGTAGGCGGTTTACGGTTACGAGTAGACTTTGTCTCGTAGCCCATTTTGAGTACAGGATCAGGGTTTTCTTTCGTGGGTTTCCCATCAACAAAGTGCTCATTGCAGACTCTCGACGAATTATTAGGTTGCCAGACTTCTCCTTTCGGGCCTTTTCTCTTTAGAAGATGGATCCAGCGCTTTCTACCCTCATTGTTTTTGCGTTCAGTAGGGAACGGAAATAGCTTGAACGGCAGCGGACAGTCACATGGCGGAGTGCCGTGTAAACAATCGTGAACTTCGCATTGCTGTGAAGCCCATTTCTCAAGCTTTTTCCCACTGTTATGGCACCCAAATACTGCACAATTTCTGTGCCCAAAGACCATGTCATTAAACGGCTGCAAAGTAATAAAAATACGATGAGAATCTTTGACTTTTGACAGTTCTTGTATTCGCGAATGTCACTCGCGCGCAGGATTGAATCTACTACCATTAAAAGCTTAAAAACAGCTAAAACAAAGTTAAAATTTGTAACTTACCTTTTGAATATAATACCCACGAAGATTATTTTCCAGTTGATATCACTTACAAGAACAAAAAGACTGTATTATAGATAAAGACAAGCTTCAAAGAACGCATTGAATACAGAGACACACGCCATATTGTCACGCTTGGTGCCCACTTTTTTTGTGAGACTATCCCAGAATGCATTGCGCGCGAATTACCTTTCGGAACTCTTGATGCACGTATATATCCTGCTATTTCTATCATAGAATTTTGTAATTATTTGTATATTTATCTATTTATTAGTATTATTTTGTAATGCTGTATAATCTAGTTAGAGGGCCACAGGTTTGTCAGCTTTTCAGCTGTTACGTGTCCCCCTCTATAAATAAAGTCCTTATTATTATTATTATTATCCTACCGGCCCACATGAAATGAAACAATTTCTAGGACTGTTGTTTCTAACAGGAATCATAAGAAAACCAGCAATCAACTTGTACTGGTCTACAGACCCACTGTATTCCACCCCTTTGTTTGGTGCTATCATGAGCAGGAATAGATTTCAGTTGTTGTTGAAGTTCTTACATTTCAATGATAATGCAGAAATGCCTGGGGCAGACGACCCTTCCCCAGACAAACTTTTCAAGGTACGCCCACTGGCGGATCATCTATGTGAGAAATTTGGTGAGGTTTATACACCATCATCTAATATCTCAATTGATGAATCTCTGCTATTGTGGAAAGGACGCCTTGGTTTCAAACAGTATATTCTTCTAAAAGGGGCCAGATTTGGAATAAAATGTTTCATGTTATGCGAGGACTCTGGGTACACCTTCAAGTTCAAAATTTACACGGGTAGAGAGAATGTCCCCCCACCTGCAGGTGCACTTTCAGTCTCAACTGGTACACCAGCATACCACTGTTGAAATTTCTTTTCGATCACAGCATGCTGGCATGTGGAACAATACAAAGTAATCGTAAGGGATTCCCTGATCCCGTGAAAAAAGCGAATTTGAAGAAAGGTGAAGTCAAAGCTTACAGAAGCAGTGAACTTCTTGCCATGAAGTTCAAAGACAAGAGAGATGTGCTAATGCTAACAACAATTCACAATGAGGAAATGGTTCCAGGACAAAGACTTGCAGCCCACCACAAACCAAGATGCATTGCAGACTATAATAAATATATGGGCAGAGTGGACCATACTGATCAGCTGATGCAGCCATATGACATGGCAAGAAAATCCCTCAAATGGCACAAGAAACTGGTATGTCATTTTCTGCAGCTTGCCATGCTAAATAGTTTTCTAGTTTACAAGAAAGATTGTGGCCGAAAGCGCTTTTTGGAATTTCAGCATGATGTGATTTCAGTGCTTCTCTTTGGTACAGAAAATGACCAGCCTGACATCCAAGAGAGGAAAATGTTGTAAGACTTACAGAAAGGCACTTTTTGGAGCAAATCTCATCAACAGCAAACAAGAGGAAAGCTCAGAAGAGGTGCAGAGTCTGTTATAAGAAGAATATACGGAAGGAAACCTGCTATTACTGCCCAAGTTGTCCATCCCAGCCCGGATTGTGCTACTACCCTTGCTTCAAACTTTACCACACAAAGTTTGTGTATTGGGCCAACACTTGAAAGACAAAAAAGACACACATGAAAAAATTCTTGTCAAAAACTTTATTACAAAAATTCGTGAACAGGCTCCTTTGTGTACATGTTTTTTAAAGTAATATCTTGGATATATGTTGGAATTTGTTATGAAGTATTTTTGCAGCAGTTTTGAATCAGTTTTATTGTTTCAGAGACTTGTTTTTGTCCTGTTTTTATTGCAAAATGTGGAAATATGCAAATTTTCCCACGGTTATGACGTCATATTGATATCAAATTACGTCAACCTCAGTAAAATAGGGTTCATTGAAAAGAAAATTTTATGACCTTTCAGAAAATGTATACATGTCTATAGTTTCAGAGGAACACTTCTGGTATTTGA